GAGTAAAAGAGAAAGAAGTGGTAGAAAGGAGTGTATATATGATAGAATAAGACAAAAGAAACCAATGAAGTTAGTCAACCAGAACGTTGAGGTTTGGCGCCAAAGGCAAGCCTGATGGCAACGTTTGTTCAAATACGCGTACATGCTGATCTGTTGGTGTTAGTCATGGATTCTTTCGAAAGAGTAGACATAAGAGAGTTTTTAGAAGAAATCGATCCTGATCTCCTTCAGTATTCTTCACAGTTTCAAAAAAAGGCTTTACTTCAAACAAAAGCATGAATTACTGGAGATGGAATTTGCATGCCCAAACGTCCAACGAATCATTTCGAAACATAAACGTTCCAGTTGACTAACTTCAATGTTTCGGCCACCAGTTATAACATGTTTTAGTGTCTGGTGTTCACGCTTAGTTGCAAACGACTGTATGATCAATTTATTTTCAATAATGCAAGCCACTTTTGGATTAAGAGTATTAATTAAAGTCAGCTGAAAGTTTTTTATTTTATTATTTTTTTAGAGTGTAAACAGTATATCCGTGAAAAATTAGTTTTACTAAATAGTACAATTTTATTCAAATTCTATTGTTTTCTATTGTTTAATTAGCACTATTTTGTACTATTCTTCGTTTGCAAGATTTTTCAATGAATTCTTTTGTTAAATCTTCCAACATGGCAGACATCCCTTTTGTTATTGTGCTCTCTTGGGATTGATTGCAAGCCAAGAATTTAGTAAATTGCATTTCGTGGATATATTGCTTTCACTCTATTTAATATTTTTTAGTTTTTTTTAAATTATGAATTATTTCTTGTGTTTTTTTCCCCTATTTGATTATGTTTTTTACTTGGACTGATACCTAAGATTTCTTTCGGATTTTTGGACATTTGTGATCTTTATTACATTTGTGACAAAAGTTTATTACATTTTGTGACCTTTATTACATTTGTGACCAAAGTTTATTACATTTTGCGACCTTTATTACATTTGTGACCAAAGTTTATAACATTTGTGACCCTTATTACATTTGGGTCCAGTTTTTACATTTGTGCCTTCTACATTCTTCCATAACAATTTACTGAATTATTGAATTAACTATATATATATAGACAGTAAATTTTATGACACTAGATTATGACCCTGAATTCAATGGCTATTTTCATGTCAGAAACAACATATTTAATAAACATTTAGCGAAATTAACAAAAAATATTGGACTTAAATTAACTAGCATTATCCAGCCACGAATCTAATTCTTAAATTTAAAGTTGATTATCCAACCCATCCACAAAAACCTAAGCTTTAGAAAATATAAAGTATGTACTCTAGCAAATTACACATAAGGAACAAGTGTATAAGAACTACATGGGAAGCACGCACAGGGGTGATGTGTGTGCCACCTCCCACCAATGCGAACCAGGTTCAATGCTTGGGCTCAATGTTGTAAGTGATAAGCAATGCATGAATGGTTGATTCTCTTACTAATGTACTTTGATTTAAGGGTTTACAGTCATTTCGCCCACGGACCATTTCGTCCCGCCAATTTGCCCATGCATAAAATCATCGATCATGCGTTTGCCAATTCGCCCACACCAATTCGCCCACGTGTAGAATCACTTTAAAAGAATATGCTACCATGACTAAAAAAAAGTAGTTCGTGATTTACCAACCTTACTTGACGCTTAAGCTCAAGACTTAACTCGCTAACGTGGGCAAAATGGTCCGTGGGCAAAATGACTGGTTACCGATTCAAGAGTAAAATTTTCTCCTTGTTCGATTCCCTGGTTTTCCTTCTTCTGCAAAAATCAACTTCTAAACCATATTCAATCTAGGGTCTTTATTAATAAAGCAGAAATACCTTACTTATTTATAATTTGGTACAATATTAGATATTTTAGATTACCTGAACTGTTTTTTTGTTGTGCACAATCTGTTCAAACAAAGAAAATAGAAATCACAAACATGTTATAATAAATATATATAACATAACAAAATAAAATAATCCATAAATGTATAAGACACATCTTATTAATACTAGCTTACTGTTAGACAGTATACTGTACACTAGATAGATAGATAACAAATCAAATTTGGGATAAAAATAGATTTAACAAAGATAGCGAGACATTCAATTTTTGATTAGTTTGGGAAACAACAAACATTTTGTCCAGTTGTGAATTGCTGGAGTCTAATTGAAGAATAACTAGAATTTTGATTATTGCAGTACAATGCTAAAAAGTATGAACACATTTAATGTATTCACATACGTGTCTATGCACTGACTTTTTCCTGCCAAACAAGCATTTGCACGCCTTAAATTTGGTGAAACCAGCCAGCTTCACATCAAAATGTGTCCCTTAAACGTACAGTACCAGTGTATAGAAGTATGCAAACACATTAAATGTGGTCATACTTTAGCACATCATGCTGTAATATATGGTTATTTTTTCCAAAATTTAAAATTAAAATATGCATGAATATGAAAATTCAATTTTCAATTTTTCGTGACATCAACTTAGTTCTAAAAAAGGCCATTACGAAAATTCTTCTCGCTATTTAATCATACTACGGAAATTGTATTAGAAGAATATTTAATCTTTCAATCCTGAACTTTGACCTTGTCATCCCCAGCCCCCTACTATCATTGAATTGTCAGATATGCAGGGGACTCTTTTCACAATCAGGAGACTCTTATCTAGCACGGAGCATGAATGCTAGTGAACAAAGCTTTACTTTCCGATGTTTTTAATTTTTATCAAAAGAATCAGGCAAAGGTGCAGGTTCTAGTAGTAAAATAATAGATTAATGTTTAAATACATGTTCATTTTAATGATTAGTTTACTTGCATCAATTTAATACTTTTACAATTTGAAGACTCGAAGGTTAAAAAATTCCAAAAAAAGCACTCAAAAAGCACTCTTTAGGGACATAAACAAACACCTGATTCTAAATAAGGGAAACTATGATGTTGTGAGCCGGCTAGCTAACAATATAATCAAACCCCTCTTTGGCAAACTCCTGAATAACTAGTTGTAATTAATTCAGAGATTAGGTTCCCTTTGATTTTGTTATGCTTGTTCACATTCAAAGGATTTGAGGTAGTTCGCTTGATTTAGATGCTCAATATAACTGGTAAGATGAGCAATTGTCCTTATAATTACATTTTTTCATGATAAAGGTTTACAAATGCATTATCACACCTACCTTTTGATAGAATTAACTTGAAATCCTGTTTACTGGGGCTTGTCCCAAATTCCTTGTATGTTGATATCCTAAAAATCATATCTCTGTCATTTGGCTTAAAGTTTTTAAATTTAAACCATGCATGTCCAGCAAAGAGATTGCCATTAAATTCCACTTTGTTACCAGCTGTAGCATTGACTTCAGTCTTGAAGTTATTCGAGATCCACACACTCATATTGAGTGGATTGGCATCAATACCGCCTCCTTTTGTGCCTACCAAATGACTACGTGTAATAGGTCCTGGAGTATTGAACTTTAAATCAACATCACTGCCAGGACAGGAATAGACACTTTTTGGGCCACCTCCGGTATTATCTGCATTACTTTGAAATGGCACAACCAACAGAATAAACACAGGCAATAACTTCATTTTGAAGCTGAACTAAAAAAGAATGACAATATATTAATTATAATAGTAATGATAATAATAATAATAATAATAATAATAATGATAACAATAATAACCATCATCATCATCTTTGTTTGTGTGGTGCCAAACTCCATTATTTGATGGCAGTGCTTTACAATAATTATCAAATGTTTAAAATATTTAAAAAAATGTAAAATGTATAAATTTCATAATATGACTATAAACAATTATTAATAGAAAGAAAAATTTTATTGAAATAATATATTTATAAAAGGAAGATTTAAATGAAATGCTTCCCTTAAAGATAAGTCTCATGGGCAAGAGTTCCCATACTCAGATTTTATTAAAATTTTGCATGATGAAACTACATCATACTAGAGGTAAAATAAGCAAATAAAAAATGGGGGTCCCTGAATGGAAGTTCACCCTTTTTAGGGCGTAGACATGGAAAGCTGTAAAAAGTAAACCACATTTTACTGAAAAAACAAACCCCCGTTCTCCAGGGAACTCTAAAAAATAGCCAAATAATTAGTTAGCTTTTAAAATTTGTGTTTAAAGTTTGAAATATAAAGTTAGAAATACCCCAACGTTGGGTATTATAAACTACAAAAAAATGAGTGTACTCGTTTTTAACTCGTGGATACGCGAAGCGTAGAAACGAGTTATTGTGAGGGGTCTGAATATGCAAATGTGTCACTCGCTCACTCGCTTACTAAGATGTTAGCAGATCGATAATTAAACGTTTAGCGATCGTCTTACGTCATTTGATTACGAATGTTACACGACACTAGCAAGCACAAAGCTCTTATACCATATAGATTACTTTGTTATTTTATATGAGCAAACGAAATGCTGGTGTTCCATGTGGGATCAGTTTCTAGCACTTGTAGGGCGCCGTGGGGGCCCACTGTGCATGCGCACACTCGCACATAGTTTTATCTTCGAATTATTCATATTAAAAGAATCAAGGAAAGATGCAAGTTGAAATAAAATTATACGATTAACACCTGAAATAAAA